TAATATTCTCCTGCATAATCCTAATATTTTGATACTTCATTAAATATGTATAGGACAATTATCAAAATGTCAAGAACTGTAGGTAAAAATAACCAACAATTGAAGACAAAGGCACCAAAAAAAGCTCACTGAAGATAAACTTCTTCTCATCCTTGGTGCCAACATTCATTAATAAGTGGGTTTCAATGAGCCACTTCAAGCATTTCTTTAAGGTTTCATAATGGGAAACAACACCCCTAGTGTAACCCACTTATTTGACGAAGGTGGTCATCCATTTCTTCAAGTAAATCTCTTCTTAGGAAAAGTCACTTTCCTTTTAAACGTACGATCCATTCCTTTTCAAATATGGAATTGGTTCCAAAATTTATGAAATAAATTGGTATACTTGTTCTCTGTCCTGGTCCCTACGGGGCATATTGTTCCAAGAGCCTTTTTGCTAAGAAGGGTGACCAAAAAGAACTGATCTTCAAAATGCTTCATGCTATAAAAATAAAACTTCGAAATAACAAGTAATCTACACCAAAGTGATTAAGCCTTGGCCTTGCGTGTGGTTCGTTGAGCTACAATGTACTCTGAAAAAGATGGAAGGAAAAGGATTAAGATGGTTTTCCTCCCAGATAGTCACACCAATACTGGAAGACTTTGATGTAATACCAACTCGCGGGGTTCAATTGCGAGGGAGAAATCTTCATATGGTTCAAAAACTCTATTTAGAAACTCTTGAAGGGCAAGAAGAGACCTAGTAGTGAGAAAGTGCACTCATAGAAAGGAAAAACGCACCAGTCATACTCACTACAAATCCTTTTATCTTCCTCGTGGATCAGTACACTCCAATCTGAAGAAGGACCCGTGTCAAGGAAGATTATCTCAAGACTAAATTCATACGCAAACATAGAAGTAGTTATTGAAATGTCAATATCAAACCAAGATGCAGAAGCATCCTCCTTTGAATTTTGGCTCATGATGGACACCACTTCCTTCGAATAAAGAAAATAGTATATTATGGAAATACAAATGAAGAAAAGGACATAAGTAACGACTCGAGAAACTACTTAACCGACTCAATAAAGATCACTTAATGACTTACCAAATGAAGGATCATAAGCACTACCAATGGCTCAGGTTGCTTTGGGAAAATACTCAAGTACTTTAGTTTCCAAATATCATTATGATATAACATATGAAAAGATATTTGAAGCATGAGTCACATTTAAGGCGCGAGTTCCCAATGACATCAATGTCACCTCTTGGCTTTCCACTCAAGCCAGATTACAGCCAACAAGAAAGGACAAATGCAGCAAAGCCCTTGCACTACAAAGCAAAGACAAGGTATTGTAGGGCAACTGTTATGGGCCAGTCAGAAGGCCCTATAACCATGATCTAAAGAAGGCAATAGTTCATCAAGTACCCATGGAGCAAAAGTCTTATCCTTGACTAGAGCATATGAGATCCAGATCCAGGATCCTCCCAATGACTCCTCACATCCTATGCTTGAAGTTCAATACATTATTATAACCAAACTATTATATAAAGAGGAAGCACACCATTTTCTAGGTACAATTTAATTCAAACTTCATTTACTCATCTTATCCTCATACTTACTTGAGTGTTAGAGTGCTAACCTTGCAGGCCCACCATATTTTTAGTATATCGGAAGCTCAAGTTTGATGTTCTAATATGCAATCCTCGATCTCTGATCAATGTTAATTCCTTATATATATATATATATATATATATATATATATATATATATATATATATATATATATATATATATATATATATATATATATATATATATATATATATATATATATATATATATATATATATATATATATATATATTAAAGTTCATTAAATTCACAATGTTATTTAGAGTAGGGACATGTGTTTATTTATCTACCTCGTCTTGTATTTTCTTGCCCCATCCACCTTACTATAAAGGAAAATAAGACAAGTATCACACTATGCATAATGGTTAATGAATCGAGGCCCTTTATGTAATGTCAATACATCACATTACGTGACACTTTTATCATTATAAATGAATGTGTCTACTAAACAAAACAAGTATATTTTGACTGCATTTTGCTATGATGGTCTCTAAGTTATGGGTTATTTTGATTCACTAGTAAGACTTTTAAATGCCTTTGGTGCTTTAATTATGGCCATTTTAATATTACATGAGTGCATATAGTAATATAATAGTCTATGTTTTATGTGGAACAAATCTTGGAATAACCATCAATCATTGAATCACATAAAATATAAGTAATGGTATGCGATCCAACCAACTATCAATGATAAGAAAATGTATTAGACATGAGATATCGTTTAATATCTAAGATATCAATATTACCAATTACCATATAAAAGCATTATCCATGTGACTTTGATAGAGCTAAAATCTTTCAGTAATAATTGATGTATATTAGTGTATCACAAAATGGAAAATAAATAATGCAATGATAATAACTTGCATTATATAAACTTCATATGATTCATGAGTATAAAATATGGACGTGACATCCTTAAATGACACATTGTATATCCATGTACGATATCCCATAAACAAACTATATGAGAATGGCATATTTATTCTCCTATCGGATGTAAGCCAAAGTCAAGATATGCCCATCAATATATGATTGATATATGGTACAATAATATGATATGGATTGATCTTTCAAGACAATCTAGATACTAGATAATGAATGCAATTCACACCTGTCATCACAAAGAGAGAAACAATAATCATCCACCATTAGGAAGTCAATTGTTTGCTTATACATACTCGAAGGTGAGAAAACATAAAAAAAAGAGTTTAGATTGTGTTGGAGTTAAAGAATATTTTTAAAACGTTTAAGAAAAAACAAATTCAAATTAAAGTTAGAGGTCATTGTTCTTCAAACTATTGTTGGTTCAACAAGATCTACAGTCAGACGACCCCTCTACGAACAAAACATGGACGAACATGGAAGTGCCTCGTGATATCCTTCACCCAGTATGGTTGTCATTGAAAAATGCTTGCCATTTCACCAATTGAGAGATGCAAGTCATTGGTCTATGTATGCCAACAATCTAATCGAGGTAAAATATTGCTTTAATCTATGTGAAAAAAATATGAGATACAAATATCACTAATTATCCTATAAAATCATTATTCATGTGACGTCGGTAGAGATGAGATCTTTTGCTAATGGTTGACGCACACTAATGTATCATAAAATTGAAAATAAAAAATGTAATGATCATTATTTGTATCATATATGCTTCATATAAATCATTACTATAACAAAATATACTTCAATATTGACCTAGTTAACCTAACCTATATGTGAGATACCAACTAAATGTGAAATGGATAACAATGGCACATCCTCTCCTCAAAATGACAAGACATATGACAACGACATCCCAACATGTAGCTCTTCTTCCAACAGTTGTGATTGTGAACTTCGTCTTTTTCCATTCCCTTGTTTTCTACATGTTCTCTATAAACAAACATAATTATTGTCTACCTATCAAGTCTTATGTGATATATTGAATGATAAAATTTTATAACAGAGAAAACAATTTTTTTTTTTTTTAAATATATCATTTCAATAAACGTGTTTTTAAGTACACGTTAGTTGGTCAAGTGATAATTGACGCTAGATTTAATTGATAAGACCACTATTTAATTCTCTACAACTGCGATTAGAAGAGATTGAAACCATTCATATCATAATTGATCCTGAACCAATTTAGTCATTAGTAGTAAAAACAAAACAAAAATCAATAATTTTAATTAAGTTTGATAAACGAGTAAAATATAATTTTTTAATGATCATTTTGATGAAGATCTAGAGATTTGAATACAATTTTTAAATTTTGGAATTTTTTAAATTTCAACTTTGATGAAAAATGTAAATGAGGAAGCCCATAGGTTTGTGTTTCTTGTATTACCACATGCTGAAATTGTGAATCCAAATTTCAAGAGAGATACAAATATAAACACAAGGAGTTAATTAAGAAATTCTAAAATCTGCTTAAATTCTTACAAACCATTGGGCCGACCCGAAACAATGATTTTACAAATTTAATAATAACATCAACTCTATCTAGAAGTTATTTTGACTATACATAAAAACATTGGGAAAGATGTAACGAAAACAAGACACGTGTACTTGCACAAACCAAATCATTTGGCTGTTGTTCCATTTCACGTTTCCTAGGTTTATTTATAAATAACGTTAACTTCAGTTCTCATTGTCTCATACACACTTCCACCCTCGCCGCAAGCTCCTACTATCAACCCTCGCCGCAACCTCGCTCTACTCTCGCAACCTTCCTCTCTTTCTCGCATTTCACTCCCTAGGTACTTTTTCTCTTCCTCTCCTTCACTACTCTCACTTCTCTCATGCACGCTGGATTTCGGTTATATTCAATGTACAGCTTAGCTTTATTCTTACACCTGTTTTTTATTTATTTATTATAGTGGCATGCTGAATTGTTAGTTGTGTATTTTTTGTCTGAGTTTGGCAAAGTTTTATTTTGCATAATTCAACTAGTGTACTGAGCTCACTGGTTGGAATTTTCATCGATGGTGATAGATTTGAACATTGATTAATTCAAATTTTAGTGTTCCACATGTTTTAGTCTTTAAGATTGCGACAAGCTTAAAATTTATTTTTTTAGTTTGTTCATATGATATGGTTTTGAAACGGTACTTGATTGACTTGTAAGTTAGATTTTTGATTGTCAACTAAATTTTTTCTAATACTAAATTCTGGACATGGATATGTAGGCCAGGGCTTTGTAACGATTTGAATTTCATTCATATACTTGTACTTAGTATTGTGGGCTGTGTTTTCTGTTTATTGTTTGAAATATTTTATATGTATGTACCAAGTTGATTTTTTGATTCATTGAATTTAGTTGTCCATTTTGGTTTATAATAGGGGGACAAAGTTTGCATTAGTGAAGGAGAAGGTGGGAGAGAAAAGTCGGAGTAGCATGGATATGGCCGTCATCAAGGTGGAGTCTGTTGCTGATGAGAAAATTGACACAAGTGCGAAAGACTTTGAGGACATTGAGGTTGATATTCTGAGTTTGACGAACAAGGTTGATGTCGGGTCTAACAAAACTGAGGACCCTGATGCAACTGACCCTGATGCGACAGAGTATTCGAGTTCGTTTTCTGATACCAACTCTGATGGGGAAAATAGTTCAAGGCCGAGTGATGCTGAAGGGGATTCCGAGTTCTTTGGTGAGAATGGAGTGGCAGGCCCTAGGGATACTGCTCGTCCAGGGTTCCGACCAAGGTAAATTTTTATTCAATTAGTTGCAAAAGTATAAAAACCATGTTAATGTTTTTTGAGTATTCAAATTTAATAGTTGATAGGCATTTTGACAATTAAAATCTTAACATATTTACAAACTATTTCAATAATGATTCTTATTAGAAGTTAAGAAGTATGAAATTTAAAAGGCGATCTCCAACTGTATATGGCATGTGAAATCTTGGTTTGATGCTTGAGTAAGAAGTTAGGTTATTTTTGTGCAAATTCCTAGATAATGCATGCTTTGATTTACATTATTAAAATCTATCACCACTTTAGTGTGGTCTTCATTATTAGTATCCTTTTTAGAGTCCATTTATTTGAGTTTCTTTATGCTAATCATCAATTGATGATGATATAGGAATACCACTATATCTTGTTAGATTGTGTTTCATGGTGAAGCGAAACTCTCGGTGTCTTCGTTTGTTACAATATGATTTGTTATCACAAGAGTTATTTGAGTTAATTATGTACATTTTGATATATGGATTATACAGGAAGAGGAAGTTGACAGATCATTGGAGGAGCTATATCCGACCTCTAATGTGGCGTCTAAAGTGGACAGAGATAAGACTCAAGCAATTTGAGTCCCAAACATTAAAGTACACTAGACAACTTCAAGAGTGTAACAAGGGAAAGCATAGGGTACCGGATGGTTTTAACTTGGTAGAGTCTGGTTCGAAGTCGGTGCCATTTACAACTCACGAGTACAGAAGTAAGGCTAGAAGGAGAAGAAACCGAAAGAAAGTTGAGAAATCAACTGACCTAGCATCGTATACAGCGCATCACTATCTTTTCTCATATCTTGGTACAGACTTTTTTGCATTCATTTATCTTTACACCTGATTTGCTTATTGTTTCATTATTGTTTACCATCCCTTTTTCTCTACTTCAGAGAAGTATGTGACTCTTTCTTTTACTTACTGTAGAGAGTAAGAAGACTGATCGTGAGAGTTCTTTGGATGACGATTTTGAGAATCCAGGTTAGAAATTCTGCTTCGTAGATGATACTTGGTGTTTCTTTAGATTAATGGTGAATTTGGAAAAATCATGATGCCACCGTAATTGTCAAATTAGCTTACTGCTAATGAGATGCTAAGTCACCTGTACCATTATCATGTTGTGTATTTTCTCTTCTTAAGAGAAAAGGATGAAGAAGAAAAATGTTTTATTCAACTGCATTATGCTACTGGTTTGTGTGTGGTGGCTTATCTTTCACTTTGTTAACCTTTGGCAGTAGTGATCTCCCTTTAATTATGCCTCATATTCACATTTTGATTTATATCCGACTCATTAGTTGTAACAAATTTTGTTTATATACTTTTTTGGTGCAGTGATTGCAGAGCCTCATGCTGATTCAACAGAAAAGCGTGAAGATCGGCCTTTGCTTAAATGCACCAGCGCTGATGTTTCCTATGAGCAGCTCCTTTGGAACATCGACAATCTGCATAATAGGGTCCGCGCACTGAAGAGTGGTGTCAATGCAATCACGTCCAGAAATGCTTCAAAGTTTTCTGGATCAGAGAACTTTAGCCTTGTTCCTTATGGTGGTGAAGTGCAGACTAGCTCTGCTCAATCTCCTACCAATTCTGTAGGGAATGGCTATACAGCATCTGTTGGAGAAGGTGCCTTTAATTCTTCTCAGAATGCAGCTGATGAATATGACTTTGGAGACTTTGTCTTTCCTGACAGTGCTGTTTCAAGCTTTGGAGAAGCTTCGAACATTCCTGATATCATCGAGAGCACTGTTGGCTCGTTGGCTGCTGCTGAGGTCACCCTCCAATCGGCCCTGGTCGCTGAATCGGGGGAACATGTGAGTTTTCTCAAATACAGATTTCATACTTGTTGTGACCGGTGGTGGTTGTTGTATGTTGTATACCTAACCGTCGGATGATTATGCAGATGGTGGAGAATAAAGATGTCTTGCTGCAGAGTGCAACTCACCATCCCATGAAGCTTGTGGATGTTAAAACTGAAGTTGAAGCTGACGGCCCCACTGAGAAGCTTCCTGAGAAGCTCAAGGAGATCAAAGTTGAAGTGGGCGAAGGTTCGCAGTCTGCTTCAATTCCCGTATCAGATGTTAACATAGCAGCAGCAACAGCTTGTGCATCTCAAGAGCAACATGCTCTACAGAACAATAAGGATGCCAGTATCCCCATAAGTAAAAAGAAGCGCGGGGAACGCAAGGCTGGTTCAGGTGGGTGGAACAAGTAGTCCCCGCCGGAGAAGCTGATAAACAATAAAACTTCCCGGTAATATCGTGATAGCTGGTGAATAATAATAATACTTCACAATTTGTTGTGAAAACCCGTGAATAATACTTCACATTTTGTTGTGACATAATAGTTTCAAACTCATTTTTTATCTGGTTTATTGTAACATTTATTTAAACAGGTTTAGTTGTGATATTGAATATGATAGGGGTCCAAGAAATGTTATATATATTCTGGAAGGGGGTTAGAAAGAAATTGTTACTGATCCTTGAGATGATAGTGATGTGGATCAATAGCTGTATCTATCTTTGTTATAAGGGGTTGAGTGAGAGAATGTGGGGGCATCTTGTAATTTATCTAAGTTAGTTATGGGTAGGAGGCAATATCTTCCTAGAGAAGTATAAGCTTTGTGGCAGTCAAGGTCTTTCATTCTCTGTAATTCCCTCTGTTGACATTAATAAACAGCTCATTTTCACTTTTCATTTGGATTCCGTAGCTATGCTTCCATTTTACAGTTTCACTCAACTCTTGCGGAGGTGCAAAACACAGTGAAAGAGAATCACACAAATCTCATTGGCATGCTTGAGAAATGCTTGGGTACACAGGTGTATCTGGGCCGGTTTGAAATGTGTTTGTCCAAACTCAATATTCTATTCATATAGGACACTCTAGTTTGAGTGAAGTAAAATAATAGAATTGTTTTCCCATTCCGTTACCTTCTTCCACACCATTGAAAACCCAAAAAAACTTTTGAATTTATTTGGAGATATATCTCTGAATGCACTAAATCTTACTCGTTTGTATTCAATTTTATGAAAAATAAGTGCGTCCGAAGATGCGTCTCTGAATTTTAGGGATATTTTTGAAATTACGCCAAAGGTCTGGGAGAAGGTAACAAAGTGAAAAAAGAAATTGCCTAAAATAACCACTCATTATACAAATGGGACGGTTTGGACAAATCCACTAATTTTTGAGTTGGGTTGGATAGTGTATTGTCTAAATATTTTTTCTATTTTGTTAATACTAAATAACTAATTATCATATTTTTTTCATAAAAATTATTCAATATTTTTACCGTCTTCAAAAAAATTATCTAACACATTTTTACTATTTTTTAGCGTTACAAAATAATAAATGATAACATCAACTAATAAAAATTATCATAAAATACTAGCAGCAAACTAAAGTTGTGTGACATAAAATTGCATTAGCATCAAATAAATAAAGAGTAAAGCATCAAAATTAGTTAAAGTCATGGTTCACTAAACTAGAAAATGTTCGAGAGACAAAAATTACAACTAAGTTAATATTCATCAAAATCATTACTAAACGAATAATATTGTCATTGCTTGTTGCAAGTGTATAAATTCATATTATTGTGTTGTTCATTTCATAAGGTTAAATTGCATATTCAAGTTCCAATAACTAGGTTTGTATAGACGACTTTAATTGATATATATTAAAATCTTCCGCTTGCACTCTTTTCAAACATTTTTAATTCTAATTTTAATTGTGATTTTGACTTGGTGGTCTATTCACCCTTCTCTAGATAAGTTGCCGTCGTCTAACAAGATCTTGGAGATTGGGGAGAAGATTCCCAGTAAGAAGTTTATTGCTCCTGAAAAGAATTTTCTGATGAAGGACAACATATCCCATCATCATGCTCAACATGTGTACCCTCACAAAAAGGCAATAATAAATCATCTTAGAGGTGTCACCACTGTGGAAGATATGACAATATAAGACCCTTTTGATATAGACTGTATGAATATTCTTAGCCCTATAGTCATCCAAGGCTTAACAGAAGGAAATATAAGAATACTTAAGCAAAGAAAGTGTAGAAACCTAAGTAAATTGTCACTTGTCGAAATAATCATCATCAGACGCTTGACCGTTGATGCACCCATCCTAGGTACTCTTAGCTTCTCCAATATGATTCTCATCTTCTTCAGACGAGTCTTCCGCTACCGGGATCTGAAGGACTGACTCTTTGAACCTTCTACCCATGTTGACCAGAGCTCTCTTCTTAGATTTCTTCTTGGCTGCCAGCAATGTCATCATATCTTGTTGTCCCTTGGCTAGGGCCAATAGAGTCTCTTGGAATTGAGAGTTTTGTGTCTGAAGATCCTTCACTATTTTTTCTAGACTCATCTTGCTGAAATAAACAGCAGAAAGATAAGGAAACCTGTTGTGTGAAAACCTGTCATGTCATGATGCATGGAATGTATATGTAAATGATGTCAAGGATTGATGAAATTTAAATTTGTATAGACAAAATAATGAACAAACGTCAATTTTCAATAATTAGTTTAAAAGGATTACGACATGCCTCTCGGGCTTACAAAATAACTCTCTAAGATAAAAAGACTGAACACATCCTCTTTGACGCAAGGTAGGCATTCACACTTTTCTCTTCTTGTAGCTGTTTTGTAAGCTTCAAGACCCTCTTCTCACTAGCGTAGAATTGAGCTTCGAAAGTATCTCGTTCTTTCTTTAGATGAATCCAACCTTTTTGCAAGTCTTCGAGAGAAGTAGACATGTCGGGATGGAGGACAATGTATGGCACATCTCCTCCAACCACAGGTTCCACGATCACTGGTAAGATGGAGGGATAAGGCATCACATGTTTCTGGGCGCGAGCTCGTACCCACTTAAGGTAAGGCTCGAGGGGAATGGAATTCTTGTGTCCCAGCATCTTACTGTCCATTTTTCTCATCATCCTCCAAACTCGTATAAACCTCTGCCGATAGCTTTGATCGTTGTTCTCGTAATCGAATACCACTCCTTGGATGAGCATCTCATGCGGACCATCTCTTCGGGCGTAACTAAACTGTCGCAAGGCTATGCAAGGGTTGTAAGTGATACCTCCTCTAATGCCAAGCAAAGGTACATTAGGGAATTCCCCATAACGGTCGACGATAGTAACATTCTCCAAGGATTGAGAACACCAATGAACATCTGAATGTCTGAGCGTCATCAACCTATGAGACCACATCAAACCTTGCCCGTTCTTCAACACAGATCGGGGAAGATGCAAAATAAACCATCTTGTCAAGAGAGGAGTGCAATACATGAGGGTCCCTCTCTTACTCATAGTGCGAGAGTGAGAAGAATGTAGGATATCTCCCAACAAAGTAGGCACTAGATTGCGAGACATGAAGATTTTGACAGCATTTACATCTATGAGTTGGTCAGGGTTTGGAAACAAGACCATCCCATAGATGAGAAGGGCCACAATTTCTTCAAAATCTTGCAAGTCCAAGGAGTTCCGACAATCTTGAGCTTTCTCAAACAAGAACTTGGCTAAGAAACCTTTGACACCATTCCTTGTTTCCCAATTAGTTGTGATATCAGATTGTTGCAAGTGTAGTGCTTGGGTAATCTCTTCAGGTTTTTGATCTATTTCCTTACCGTTGAAGGGTAGTTGATTGAGAATTGGAATCCTTAAGAGTTGTGATAATTCTTCTAGAGTAGGCACAAGTTAATAATCGGGAAAAGTGAAGCAATGGTGTAGAGGATCAAAGAATTGGAAAAGCACCTTCATCATATCTTCATCAGCGTTGGAGGTAACCAAGCTTAAGAGGAGACCATGTCTTTCGGTGAATGAAGATTTCTCAGGGACCCTTGATGCTAATTCTTTAAGTTGAAGAGGAATCCTTACGAGATTGACTTGGATAGTATTCATGCGGATAAAAGCCATGTCCTACAAAACAGAACAAAGATAAATCCCAATAATCCTTGAAATAGTTAGTGAGAATGAGTATGATGTCGTGATGCTTATGATGTTATGTACAAGTAAGTATATACAAACAAGGAAAACAAGTTCTTAGGTTTAAGCTTGCATGGAGTCTCATAGGTAAGTACCCTCTTGAAGTTTAGTTGGCTCATACCTGTCCTAGAAATAGTAATCGGGTTATAAGGGATCTCAATATCACTGATCTGTCTTCCTGGGCATTGTTTCAGCGCAAGCCTCTTTCATGGCGACCGAAATATCCCGAGAAGTCAAACCTCAATGAGTGTAGTATCGAGTATCAACCAACTTCGGACTACACCAAAGTCGGTTATCTCACTACACCCTAATGCCCAAGTTGGTCAAGTAAAGGTTCTAAAGTCAGTTAGTGCTTCATGACACCACACAGCAGCCCCGTATTCTCCTTGACTACTCAAGGGCTATCGGTACCCACAAATGTGTCACACTAACGTAGCTATTGCTTAGATCGTATCGGTATACCCCACACATTTTCTACAATATATTGCTACTTACCTATAAGGTATCCCAAATCCGGGTAGAGGATTAGAACAAGCCCAAACAAGGAACCAAAATGTAAAGCAAGCTAGTCAAATAATGAAAGCAAATGAAAGTGATCTAGTCCTAAGGTAATCCCACTTTTAAGTAACTTCCCCAGCAGAGTCGCCAGTTCTGTGATACGGTGGGAGAACTGACTTGGGATATTTTACGTTTTATCACAATGTTGCCGTTAGCAAGAGTCGCCACCGAATTTTCTTTTATCCAAAAGGAAAGGCTGAAAAGAATAGAAAAGACATTTGAGATTATTTATTGAGTTCGGGGGGTAGATTATGAAAAGGGAAGGTATTAGCACCCTTGTCATCCATAGTTATCTATGGGCTCTTAGTTGCTTGCTAGATCACTTGCTTTGTTTGAAAATGTGCTTTGTGGTGGTTTTGAAAGTATTTTAAAAAGGCGCCTTTATTTAGGAAAACTTTGTAATAGTTCACGCTCGTAAGAACGTACACAAAGTGTTGGGATTTTTAAAATATTTCATGTTTAGAAAATGTTTTGAAAGTGTTTGGTGTTTGTTTTTGAAAATAAGCAAGGATGTTTGATTTGAAAATGAGCAAGCAACTAGGAACAATCTACCTACTCAAAAGTCTTTGTTCATTTATTCCTTTCCTTTGATATTGCTATCTTACCATTGATTTGGTAAGAAGCCTTATCTTTGGATGTAAAGGGACGGGCGTGGGTCATCGTATAGTCATGAT